AAGATTGAAGGGGGGGAAATCGGAGGGGGAGACGAACCATGAGAGACGATGGACTCTGAAAAACAAACTGAGGGTTCTAGAGGGGAGGGGGTTGGGGGATGGGTTAGCCTGGTGATAGGTATTGAAGAGGGAACGTTCTGCATGGAGCACTGGGTGTTATGCACAAACAATGAATCATGGAACACTACATCAAAAACTAATGATGTAATGTATGGTGATTAACATAACAATAAAAATTTAAAAAAAAAAAAGAAGCTAGGCTTTCCACGGGCTGAGAGGGCAAAGCAGCATTCCAGGCTGGAGGAAGGACACAAACAAACAGAACGGGCTCAGCAGTTAGTGGCAGTTCTCTATAAGAAGGTAGAGAAAGATAAAGAGAGAAAGATAGGTGATGACTAATACAAAGATATGTGAAAATCAGAATAAGCTATTAGGCCTTTAACACACTGGAAATGGGTAACCATTAAAAGTCTGGGGACCCAGGAAAGTGGAAATACAACATATAAAATATGCATTTCAAGATATCAGACAAAAAAGTTTTCTAGGGATTGGGGTCAGACAACAACCACCAGAAACAGATTGATAAAACCAAGGACACAGAGAAGAATTACTGATAACCTCAATGCTTAAAGGCTGAACTAATTTAGAAAACTGTATTTGAAGCCCCAAGACTGGATGGTGTCTTCAGTAAAAGAATATAGAGCAAGTTGCTAAGGAGCTTTGGAGTGTTATCCTCCAAGAGGATAATCTGCTAAAGCCAGATCCATTGCGTGCCAAACCAGAAGACAGGTGTGAAGAGCTGGGAGCAAGCCAACCAAGAGAAACTCCAATGTTTAAAGTTCAAATGGAAACACATCAGCAGTACTCACTGCCATACTGGCAAGAAGTGCTTAAGAAGTAGCCCAAGTAGATTGCCCATCTGTTTCAACCTTGCAAAAATTATCTGTTAAAGATTTCTCTGTATTTGACAAGGCAACTTAGTACTTGCTGAAATTGGAGAGGTGAAACTTAAGAACAAAGAAACTTCTTTTGACCGCTCAAGCTATGATATTCATCCATATTACAATTCAGATCGAAATAATGAAAGTTACTTCATAGTGAGTAAGATCCTTTTGGATTTGGCTTATTTTTTATACATGATGCTAAATGTACATCATAATTTGGCCATCCTCCCTGGAAATACATTAATATAGTTTGAAAAGCAGAGAAAATATCAAGTTTTCAAGTACATCAATAATCCAGAAAGAAAAGAATATCCCTCCAATTTTCAAACTTGTACAAAGATTACTAATATCAGTCCTAATTATGCTTTGCTTTCTTTGGACAATTTAAAATGCTTTAGGGGACGCCTGGGTGGCTCAGTGGGTTAAGCGTCTGCCTTTGGCTCAGGTCGTGATCCCCGGGTCCTGGGATCCAGTGCCCCCCACCCCCACCCCGTCGGGCTTCCAGCTCAGCAGGGAGCCTACTTCTCCCTCTCCCTCTGTCTTTCCCTCTCTGTGCTTGCTCTCTCTCGTGCCCTCTGTCTCTCTCTTTCTCTCAAATAAATAAATAAATAATCCTTAAAATGCTTTAGGATAAGGATACATTATGCTAATAATAGCATGTCATTTCTTAAATATATTTTAAACTAAAGTATTTCCTAATTTCTGTTCCAATCTCTTCTTTGACCCATAAATTACTTACAAGTATATTTATTTCCAAGCAGCTAAGAATTTCTTAGTAAACTCTGTTATTAAATTCAAGTTTAATTCCATTGTGGTCAGAAAACACTCCAGACAATTTTGATCTTGAAATCTGCAGGAGCTTTCTTTAGGGCCTGGCAAATAATTTCTTTTGGTAAGTCTTCCATGTGTACTTTAATGAAGGCAAATTCTATTTTTGCTGGGTGCAGCATTCTATACATGTCAATTAGGTCAAGTTTATTCATCACTTTATTAAGATTTTCTATATCCCTACTAACTTTTTAGCTGGCTGTTCTATAAACTCTTGAAGAGTGTGTGCTAATGTCGCCCACTAAGCATGTCTTATTTTAGATCTGTCAGTTTTGGTTTCATATACTTTGAAGTTGCAGTATTTATAACATACAAGTCAAAAGACTGTGACCCTGACCCCATTATCATTGTGAAATCATCTCCACCTCCAAGTAGCATTTACCATATACTTGGCCTGATGTTAGTGTTGCTGTACCCAGCTTTGCTCTGGTTGGCGTTTGTCTCTGTATATCCTCTGCCGTCCTTCTGCTTAAAGTATGTCACTTGTAAGCAGTATATAATAGAGTTTTGGTGATTTTTTCAGGCAGCAAACTTAGACTTTTACTTGGCGGTATTCAGTCCATTTACATTAAATGTATTACTTATGTAGAAGGATTTATAGTTACCATCTTATTGTTTTCAATTTGACCCATCTATTTTATGTCCTCCTTTTATTCTTTTTTAATTAATGCAATATTGTTTATTCCATTTTCCCTCTTTTAACTTGTTAGATATTTTATTCTATTAAGAGTTGCCTTAGAGGGGCGCCTGGGTGGCTCAGTTGTTACGCGTCTGCCTTCGGCTCAGGTCATGGTCCCCGGGTCCTGGGATCGAGCCCCACATCAGGGAGCCCGCTTCTCCCTCTCCCACTCCCCCAGCTTGTGTTCCCTCTCTCACGGGGTCTCTCTCTGTCAAATAAATAAATAAAATCTTTAAAAAAAAAAAAAAGAGTTGCCTTAGAGATTACAATATGCATCCTTAGCTGATTACAAGTCAACGCAAATTATTACCTTTACCATTCATCCCCCAATAAGCCTAGCATCTTAAAACACTTTAACTTCTTTAACCCTCTCTTGCCTCTTGTGCTATTATACATTTTAGTTTTATACATATTTTAAAATCTAAAAACATTATTGTTTTGCATGGTCAACATTCATTTTTATTTTACATACATAGCACCCTTCATGATGACCTCATTCCTTCCTGCATTGCCATCTGGGATTATTTTCCTTCTGCCTAAAGTATCTCTTTTTAGCATTTGCTGTAATGCAGGTCCACGACTGACAAAATTCCCTCAGTTTTTCTCCGAAAATATCTTTATTTCACCTTCATTTTGAAGGAAATTTTTGCTGGGAATGGGATTCTAGGTTGGCAGGGTTTGGGGGTATTGTTTGGTTGGTTGGTTTCATTATTTAGATGGCCACTTTACTGTCTGGGTTTTTTTTTTTTTTTTTTTGCTGCTATTGTTGTTTGTTTTAACCATTTCTTTTAAGATGTCATAGCCAGTCAATCATACTATTTGTTGCTCCTTTAAAAGTACTGTGTCTTCTTCCAGTCTCTCATTGCTTTGAAGACTTTCCCTGTCGGTTTCCATGGTGTTATACTGATGTCAAAGACAGTGTCCTTTGTAGCCATTCTGCTTGGGGTTTTCTAAGTTCTTTGAATCTGTAAGCAGCTCTCTTTCATCATTTTGTAAAATTCTTGTATTATCTCTTCAAATATTGTTTCTGCCCCATTCGCTCTCTTTTCCTACATATTCCAATTCTACGTATGTTAGGCCTTTTAACCACATCCCATGTCTTTAACATCCTTATCTATTTCTTTTTTATATTCTTTCTTCTCTGTGTTTTCATGTGAGATTATCTACTGACCTGCCTCCATATTTATGAATCTTGTCTTATGTTGTAACCAATCTGCTATTGATTCTAACCATTAGGTTCTAATTTCAAATATTCTACTTGATGTCCCAGAATATCCATTTGGTTCTTCATAATAAATTGGACTGAAATTCATTATTTCTCCATTTTGTCTATCTTTTCCTCTATTGTTTTAAACATATTATTTACGGTTATTTTTAAGTACTTGTCAGCTAACTTCCATATCTGAGTCATCCGTGGGTCTACTTCTATTACCTTAGGAGACATATGATCTTATAGCTTAGATGTCCATTATGTTTTTACTGTATGTTGAACATTGTAGGGTCTCTCTATATTATTTTCCACCTACAAAAAAGGGACAGAGGGCTTCCTTGTACTCTGCTACACAGGAGGAGAGAGGGCTCATCACCCAATACGTGATGAGACTGGGCTAGGTCTCCATTTTTGTAGGACTCAGTCTGCCTCTGGTTTGCCCCTGTTCTTAAGACATGGCTCTCCACGGAGTTCAGTGAGAAGCCTGCAAGAAGTTTTCAGAATAGCTCTTTGGCCTCTTTGACATAATTCTTGAGAAGGAGATTAATCACATGTTTGGGGCTCCTCCAGTTTCATTTGTTTTTTATTTTAGCCCCAGAAACCTCGTCCGGCTTTTCTGTCTCCCAGAAGCAGCCTTCTGCCTGGGGCCAAACCTGGACTCTTGTCTGCTCACTACACTTGGATATCAGTAGCTCTCCCAGGTGATAAGTAGCTATAGATCTTCAGTGTCTATCGACTGCTCCCTAGGGTTTTCATCTCTTGCCTGTTTTGTTTTCAGATTCCTGACACCACAGGTCCACATTTCAATATACCAACATGAGGCTGTGGGAAAGTTCAGTGAGGTTTCTGGAAGCTCCTGGCCTATCTCTTCAGCTCCCTTCCAAATGTCGTACTGGGGAAACCAGTTGTGTGTCTGAGACTCCCCTTTCCCACCACATCTCCAATTTGTCACTCTGGCCATGTGTGACCAGGAAACGTTGGTAGTTTCTCTTTCACTCAGTGGAGGCCCTCTGCCTCAGCTTATGTCTCCAGAATCAGCAAGCTTCTGCAAAAAATCAAACGGTTGCTGATCCTCAGTGCCCCTTGGAATGATAATCCCTCCTCTGGAGTTTTAGTCCAACTATTCCTCAGTGCTTCCAGAGCACTGCAGAGCCCTTGAAAATATGATTTTTACAGATGTTGTCAGTCTATAATCAACTACATATTATACCTTGTGCTACTAATTATGGCCAATGAATTTCTACATATTTGTAAGATATTTAGTAGTCTTGATATTTCCCAAAGTACAGTCTACATATGCTTTTAAAATAAAAGCATCAGTAAAACAGTTACTTCTTACCTCTTCATAAAACTTCACCTGAGGTACAGCTTCATTAATGTCATTCAAACAAAAATCTTTAAATAGCAAGAAACCTAAAGGAAAAGAATAAGAAATTTCAGGGTGGGCATTAAACTGAAATTTTACCCCACAGGGTGTTTTCAAAGTAATGTGTTTATACTTAAACCTCTTCCTCACCTACCTTCAAAAATAATAATAAAGATTTTGGGGCACCTGGGTGGCTCAGTCAGTTAAGTGTTTAACTTGATTTCGGCTCAGGTCATGATCTCAGGGCCGTGAGATCGAGCCCCACCTTGGGCTCTGCGCTAGGCGCAGAGTCAGCTTAAGATTCTCTCTCTCCCTCTCCCTCTGCCCCTCCTCACTCCTCCCTCCTTCTCAAAAATCAATAATAACAATAAAGATTTCAAAGGGCTAATTATACCCCAAAAGAAAATACTCCACATAAAGTAAGATACCACATACCTGGCTCCTTGCTTTGGGTTCCTTCCCTACTGGCAACCCCCCCGAACACACACTTTTAAAAACGGCATGATAAGCGGTGCCAGTGGTCACCACTCCTTAGAGCCACTGGTCACTACAGCAAACAAAAGAATAACCAAAGAAATAAGAGATATGGGTAGTGTGGAAGTGTTAAGAGTCATCATAAAGCTAATAAATACTATGCCCACGGAAACAGGACGAAATTCCCTAAAAAAAAAAAAAAAAGACAGAAGGACTTTCATGACCTTCCCAGTCACTTACTACCTCTAAGTCCCTCAAAGTCTCCACCAAATACCCTGTGCCAGAGCAGACTACCCACTCCCAGATTATTCTCTGCTCCTTCACAGTGCCATGCCTCCCCTTCCATCAATCGGCACCTTATACTGGGAATACCGCCTCCACTGCACAGTGCCTGGTACACAGAGAAGTCCAATAGATGTTTGTTGAACAAATGCTTGTTTACATAACCCTTCCAACATGGCTCTGTCAAAGTACTTAGCACAGTCCAATTAATTATCTGATTTATAAGTTCCTCCTGCATTTGCAAACCAACTGCCTAGCATAATGCCTAGCACACGGTCAAGACTAAATGAACAAATGAAGTTCACTAAGACAAGCTGATACCAGACTGAGGGTAGAGATTATAAAAAGTCAAAAACAAATTAAAAAGCAAAAAACAAAAAAAGTCAAAACAGGGGCGCCTGGGTGGCACAGTCAGTTAACCGTCCAACTCTTGGTTTCAGCTCAGGTCATGATTTCAGGGTCTTGAGACTGAGCCCTGCTTTGGGCTCCGTGCTGAACATGGAATCTGCTTTGGATTCTCTCTTCCTCTCCCTCTACTCCTCCTGGCTCATACTCTCTCTCCCTCAAATAAATAAATCTTTTTTTAAAAAAGTCAAAACAATGAAAGGACTGCTGGAAGAAACAGAAGTCACAGAAGGGAACTGAAGGAAAGACTCACAACAACTCTAAGATGTAGGGAGAAGGTAGACCGGAATTCCCCTGGTAGGACAGAGAGAGGCAAAGAAAGCAGCTTTGACAGGTTTTAACTGAAGTTAGCCAAAGAAATCATGTAACAACCTGTCTGTTACTGCTCCATAAATTCCCCTCCATAGTTCCAGGAAGATGACCTCTGGAAATGGTAAATGTTCACTGAGTGGAGCTAGAAGAAAGTATTTGGAATACTTAGTTAAATCAGCAAGGCCAGACCAACTAGGGTTGGGTGCACCTGGCGGTAGGGACATGGGCTCGCTCATTTCATTCTCAAGGAACTGAGGACAGACTGACCTATGAAGCAAGCAGAAAATTCAGGAAGCAGACAAATAGAAAGAGTTGAAGATGCAAATCTCTACCTATTTGCACATTAATATTTTTATTTTAAATCAGAGACATGGTTACCTTTTCGTTCTCGGGCATGTCAAAGTATGTAATTTCAAATTTCCCTTGTCATTTCTTCTTGGACTCATGAGTCACTCAGAAATATGAGTTCCAGATATTTTGGGGTTTTCAGGTATTTTTCTGATATTGATTTCTGTTTAATTCTGCTGTGGTCAGAGAACATATTCAGTATGATTTCAACACTTTCAATTTATTGAAACGGTTTTGGCCCCAAATTTGGTCCATCTAGGTGAATGCTTCGTGGGCACTTGGGGGGAAAAGTGTATACGGTAGAGTGTTCCATTAAACAGAATAAAAAGGCAATGAAGCCGAGTTGGTTGGTCAGGCTGTTCAAGTCCCTCACCTAAATCCTGACTTAATGTTTGTCTCCTTATTCCATCCATTATCAACAGAGGACTGTTGAAATCCCCATCTGTAATTGTGGATTTGCTCATCTCTTTTCAGTTGTTGTCAGTTTTTGGTTTATGTATTTCTTTTTCTATTTTGGGGAGAGAAAACTAAAATGAGAATTTGAACTGAGGTTATTTTGATCATACGAGACATGTTTTTGTGACGTCTAAATGACAAATGAACTAATATGCCACATATTGACCACTGGCTTTGGGCTGAACTTGGAATCAAGGGGAAATGGTTCATCATGCCCATTGTGCCCCCTGGAATCGAGGCCTTACTTTCTCCTCCAGCCTCTTCTTAGACTGTTCTCTCCCAAGCTCCCTGCACTGAGGCCACGTGTCTGCAGTCTAGTTCCTCTCTAATACCAAACCCAATCTGCTCTCAGGGTTACCAACTTGCTATCCCCACTTCCTAAAACACTCTCCCTGACCTTGTGGACCCGCAGAGCTCAGCTCAAACGCCCCCTCCTTAGGCCTTCCAGGATTCTCATTTATGTTCATTCTCTCTCTCTCTAAGATGCGCAAGAGCACATCCATGTGCACACACGTGTACGTGCAGACACATACTTTGTTTATAGCACTTGTACTAGCAAAAATTATCATGTGCATATGTTTGTTTGCTTCTTTATTATTTACCTCCCCCACAACTATGGAAAGGCCACACAGGTCTTATTCTTTACTACACATGCAGGAACAACAACATCATGATATAGAGGGAGTGCAGGAGAAAAAATGAGGGGAGGAAGGAGAAAGGGGGGATGGGAGAGCAGGGACAAGTAAGGAAAAGGGAAGAGGAGGAAGGAGGGAGGAGGGGAGGGGAAAGGAGGAGGAAGAGGGAGAGAAGGAGATGAATGAATGCACATCCAACTGCAAACGTTTCTACCTGCTTCCACTGTCAACGTATGGGATGAGCCAAAGAATGACTAACATACTGCAGGGGAAAAGCCCCATTATTTTCCTCATGTCTGCACACAAACTGAAGCTTTACTTTCTGCCTCAGTAGCTGCTAAAACGGAACAGCAAGAAGAAAGGTGTTTGGCCTTTTGGATAAACTCTAGATCACTGTGTTTCAGGCCAAGAGCAACTTCCCTTCATTAGGCTTAAATTATACACAAAAACCCCCAAATGAAGCATTTCTCAGACTAGAACAAAAGCTAAAGGGCAAAAATAAGGAAATAATTTGCCTAACAGGTTCATTTCATCAGTGGTTTCTCTCCAGATTTTAAAGAATAAAAAATAGTGACCCAACACCTGCTTTTACTAGATAACTGTGGGATGTGTTTACCCTTGTTTCTATATTTGGGCCGCTGCAAACTGCCTGCATACTGATTAAGTTTTGAGTATATATAACATCCAGAAAAAGTAAACTATCCCAATTTGTCACCACAATATTTTGCAAAAATTAGAAGAAAAAACTGTATTGCTTTTTATAAAATACCAATGAGAACTTTTTATGATATACAAATATAACTTTTATATTGCATTTTATAAAATATCAAATAACATTTTAAAGTATCAAATGTAAGTTTCTATGAGAAATTTTGAAATGTTATGTCCTAAAAAATTTTCAAAGGAGAAAGAAAAACTATGAAAAAGTCTTGGGCGCCTAGGTGGCTTAGTCAGTTAAGCGCCTGCCTTTGACTCGGGTCATGATCCTGGGACCTTGGGATCAAGTCCCACATTGGGCTCCCCACTCAGCAGGGAGTCTGTTTTTCTCTCTACTCTTCCCCCTGCTCATGCTCTCTCCCTATCTCAGTCTCTCTCTCCCTCAAATAAATAAATAAAAAATCTTAAAAAAAATAGTCTTGCAAGAAATAATATCTGCCCTAGGTTTTGCCAAGGAGACTCAAACACTGGGAAAGATAGATTGTGTAACTGCTAAAAGTTTCTACCAATACTAACTGATTTGACAACGCATTTCCTGAGTATCTACTAAGAGCCACTGTGCTATACGTTAGGGATGCAATGGTGAAGACAGAGAATTTTTCCCATAAGGGACTTATGGATTTGGTGTAAGGGACAGACAACAAAGAAGTACACAAAATAAAATAAGTGCAATTTATGTAAATGATATAAAGAAATTTTTAAAAAGTGCTGATAGATGATAAAAAGAAGGAAATGTATGTCATACAGAATGACAATAAGACCTCTATGGGCTGTGGGATGAACAAATTACAAAGCATTTCAGATTAGAAAAGGCTAAAATGTTTAATCTTATTCCTATTCAATAATGTATTAGAGGTCTTAGCCAGTCCAATAAAGCAAGAATAGGAAATAAAAGTTACTGAAAATGGAAAGGAAGAATTAAACCTGATTCTATTTGGGGTACCTGGGGGGCTCAGTTGGTTAAATATCTGACTTGTGACTTTGGCTCAGGTCATGATCTCATGGGTCATGAGATCGAGCCCCATGCTGGGCTCCACACTCAGCAGGGAGTCTGCTTGAGATTCTCTCCCTCTGTCCCTCCTGCCCCTCTCTAATAAATAAATAAATCTTTAAATTTTTTTTAAAAATAAAACTGATTCTATTTATAAACAAGCTGGTTATCTATATAACAAATCCTATCTACAATTTTATTAGGATATATAAGTGAATTTAGCAAGGCCCCACACTACACGGCCATTAGGTAAGAATTAATGACATTCTGATATGCTCAGATCACACAATTTTAAAACAAATTTTAAAACATGTCCATTTTCGGGGTGCCTGGGTGGCTCAGTCGTTAAGCATCTGCCTTCGGCTCAGGTCATGGTCCCAGTGTCCTGGGATCGAGCCCCACATCGGGCTCCCCGCTCGGCGGGAGG